GCTCTGTTTACGTCGGCTCGCTGGGGGCCACCTTGTCTCGGGAGAAGGAAGTCCTGAGGGCTTTAGTCTTGTTGGAGAGCTGTCTGGAGGATTGCGCCCTCCGTCCTCCTTATCTGTGAGGGACGGGGGGGGGGGGGGAGGGGAGGCACCAGACTTTTCCAGTCGTGAGTCTTAGGTCGCCTGTGCGAAGGTCGGGTTCAGAGGTCGAGGGTCAGGATTCTGGGAGTCTCCAGCCATAAGGCCGATCGATGTGACGTTCTCTCCAGATATGCAGAGCATTGATTGCTCTCGGTCTCTGTCTATAGACTGTCCAGTGGGTGTTAAGGGGTCCTAGGCCTGTGTCTGGTTATCCTGAGTAAGTAACGTCGCTGGCTTCTGGTGCAGGTGCAGCCTTGAGTGTAGCAAGGTTCCCGACTAAGCAATTTTTGCGTGTCTAAAAGGCATGTTTTACTATGTTCATTACACCTTACTGGAACTCAGCTTTGAGCAATACATGTTTCCGGTTAAGAAAAACTTGAGAGTTAACCCTCCCACTATTGACGGGTCTCTACTCCCTTTCCCCATTTCTGTTTTCCTGTCACCACTATATCTGCCCCTCTTGAAAAGCTTCCCACACAACTCTAGAGATTTCAAGCTAGGATCTGCTCTTATTCGTGCAAACTTGAATGTGGTAGGTCCAAAGGAAACTCCATTCCCCCAAATTACAGTGGTTCAACCAAAGTCAGCATTCCTCAGGAGCTTGTAAAGCCAGCTTCCCTCCACCAAAAGGAACCGTTTCCGTTATCACTGGCAGAAGAGACAATGGCTATCCTTGGTGTCTATTAGCATGCTGGCCCCCATACTCCATTAGTATCATTATTACCTGTTATACATTCCAGAGGCCACGTTAGCATCCTACCTCTTCTTACCTCCTCGAGGTCCTAAACGTCTCCAGCTCACAGGCTTCCACTCCCACCAGCCACTCATTCTCTTTATAACCACGCTATTTAGCCATGTTCCTTTTTTCTCTCTCTCTTGCTCTCGCCCCTGTTCTCACTCTGTTCCTGCTTCTCTCACAGCCAGGTCAATCTGCTGGCTATGTTAAGTCTACTATTGTCTGTCTGTCCTCCGGACTCTTCCCATACCACTGACTGTTCTCTCCCTCATATCTGTAATAAAAACCTTTCCCTTAACCATGCCATGTTGGCAGTTTGTAAACCGTGTTCATCTTTCTGTATTGTTAGGTCCTAAGGGTTCCCCAAGCACCCCCCCAAAGGGGAGGTCCACTGACTTGGTCCAAAATTGAGGCTAGACTCAGCTCGAGATGGACTGTAGGCAATTTCTGTCTCTTAAAGACAGAATATCTCAGGAAGTTGTTAGACAGAGTCCTTGTATACCAAAAGTCATTCCGCTTGCCTCTGGGATGTGTGGTTCTCTGTAGGCATACACCTGCAGCACACCAGTACATCAAAATCGATGCTAGCCTTCAGCCCCCTCAGTTCCCTATTTCCAAGTACCTGGTATACAATACAGTGTCCACACTAGCTTTCTGGTCCTTCTCACACATACCCACTCCTCCACTGTGTTAGCTCCCAGGCTGTTGCAGCTCACAGACTTCGCACCTCCCAGATACCCATTCATTCTCTATATAAAAGCAAGATGTTTTCCCCTTTCCCCTAACTATTCTCTTTCTAGCAGATAACCCTGGCCGTGTCCAGTCTGTTTCTTTTTCTCTCTGCTTTGGGCTCTTCCAGGTGCCTGTAGCTGTTCTGTTCTCTCTCTCTTACCCCTGCCCCACACAAAGCTTTCCCCCTGACCACGGAGGGGCCATTTCCGTGGTTTCTTTGCCATGCCTTCATGTGTATACATGCATTTCAATTATCAGTTCTTCTGTTGGTGGTCATGTACACTGATTTTATGCCCTAGATATTGCGAGGAAAGCAACATTGAATATGCTCGAGCAAATACCTCTACAGGAGGATAGAGAGTCCCTTTAATGCCTTCTAGATATGTTTTCTCTGCCAATTAAAGAGTTAAAAGGCAAGAAAGATGTTACCAGAAATCACAGGGAGTCCCAGGGGAGCCACTAGATGATACCTGGCAAATCAAGGTCCCCTCGTTGGGGTTCTTCGATGTGAGGTGGCCTTTTGTCTCTGTGTTGCTTTTATTGGTTGATGAATAAAGCTGTTTCAGCCGATGGCTTAGCAGAATAAAGCCAGGTGGGAAATCCAAACAAAGATAGAGTAGGCAGAGTCGAGGAGACACCCTGTAGCTGCCAAAGGAGTAACTTGCTGGCGCTGGAAAGCCACAGCCTCATGGCATCACACAGATTAGTAGAAATGGATTAATTTATACTTAGAACTACCCAGTAAGAAGTCTAAGCCATTGGTAAAAAAACTATAGCTAATATTAAGCCTCAGAGTGGTTATTTCATAAGCAGCTGCAGGATCTAGCAAGCAGGACCCGGTGGGTAGAGAGAAACCAGTCTCGTGGGACTGGGCAACACAGAGAAAAGTCTTCCATCTACAGTTCTTAGTCTTATTAAAATAAGTTAAGAATAAGAAAACAGGAACTTGAGGACCATTTATTGTCAGTTTAAAGGAAAGTCCCCAAAGAAGGCAGTTGTGAAACTTTTTAAATTTGAGTCTTACTTGTTAGGTTGCAAAGCCGTGCTCCTGCCTCTACTTTCTGTGAAGATGGGACTACAGGCATGTACCATTGCACCAAACAAACATTATCTTAAGGGGAATAACAGATATTATAAAAGCCTAATTGGAATAATTCCTCAAGTATTTTTTAAATGTAATTAAATATCCATGTTGGTTAGTTTCTTCCATCTTGACACAAAGTTAGGGTCATTTGGGAAGAGAGAACTGAAGCTGAAGAATTATTCCATTAGGCCAGCCTGTGGTCAAGTTTTCTGGATTTCTAATGGATAAGTGGTGCCTTCCCTTCTCAGTGGTCCTGGGTTGTATAGAAAGCAAGCTGAGTGAGCCACTCAAGTCAGAAAGCAGCTGCTCTCCATGGTTCGCATCTATGCACCTGCTGAAGCGCTTGCCCTGGCTTTCCTCAGTGATGGGCTGTGATCAGAACATGAGTCAATAAATTCTTTCTTCCCCAAGGACAGTATCTGTGCCACTTAGAGTAAAAACCACTGAGCTTTTCTATTATGGATAATGTTTAGAAGAAAAACTAAACAAAGGAGATTAGATTCAGGGCCTTGTTTTGAAAAGAAAAAAGGGGGGAAAGCTGTGGGAGAATGCTCTTGCACACTGTAAAGATTTGTCACTCGTATTGGTTTAATAAAACACTGATTGGCCAGTAGCCAGGCAGGAAGTCTAGGTGGGGCAACCAGACTAGGAGAATTCTGCAGAGAGGAAAGACAGAGATGTGGTCACCAGCGAGATGCAGAGGAAGTAAGATGAGAATGCCTCACTGAGAAAAGGTACCAACCCATGTGACTAAACATAGACATGAATTATGGGTTAATTTAAGTTGTAAGAGCTAGTTAATGATAAGTCTGAGCGAACAAGCCAAACAGTTTATAATTAATATAAACATCTTTATTTTTTTTACTGGGCCTGAGCAGCTGCAGGACTGTGCGGGACAGAAACTTCTGTCTATGCTTTTCCTCAAATGATAATTTTTATTTAGTTCATTGTTTCTATCTACAAGTTCTTCCCCTCTTTCCAACATGACCTGAAGATTTTTAGCGCTGTGGATGCTCTTTCACTGCTTGTACACATAGACTGCTTGGAGGTTCAGGTATGAACTGAATAGCTTGGCGTATACTGGATGCTTCAGGGCAAATTTCCTGAAGGCCGCGTATGAAACCTGAGCTGACTCCTTGCCAGCCATCTCCTTGAAGAGTATAGAAGCGTCTAGGTCTGGCACTCCGAACGCTGCCCGGAGTATAGTCGTTAGCTCTTCTTCCGTTATGTAGCCGTCCTCATCAAGATCAAAAAGCTTAAACGACATTTGCAGAATCTTCTCTGTGTTGGCAGGGTTGCACAGGACCGTTAGTCCTATCACATATTCCCGGAAGTCGATGGTGCTGTCGTGATTCCTGTCAAAGAGAGAGAAAAGCTGTCTCAGGGGCTCTGAAATTGGGAGTTTCAGATAACTCGAGAACTCTTCAATTCCAATCTTGCCTCCTTTTGAGGCGACTGCAATCTCAGCATATTTGTCCAAGTGCTTGTGGATATTGTCCCAATCTAATTTCAATTTCTGGCTTATCGTTGTGAATTCCACCAGACCAGCTTCCATGGGTAGCTGGAGGGCACCAGCAGAAACCATCAGTCTGCAGTCTTCGAAAGTATGATCTGTCACAGGGAGTTTCAAAGCATTCGCCATGTTGATTCTGACTGAGTTGGCAAAAAGGATGGGGTCTTTCTTTTCTTCCTCACTTGGGCTATAAACAGGCATAAACTCTACTTCCACCCAAGTGAAGGGCTGACTCAGAGTTAGCATCAATGCCTGAACGCTTGTGAAGCCCTGCCAGGTCCAGGTCACTGTGTCCACCGTGTTGGGGTACCTAAGCAGCACTGGTTGCACAGGGACACCTGGGGAGAAGGCCCCTAGTTTAAAAGTGACAAGACAGGAGCGATTGGTGCACACTCCTTCCGGGAAAATCAGAATCTGTGGCCACTTCATTTTGGATAACACTCGAGTCAGGATTTCATTCCGGGTAGTCTTCCTAGAATTCGGGTCTTCTCGTTTCACAAGCACAGGCTGAGTGTACAGGAGGCATTTCCCAGCCAATGGGATCTGCACATTGTGACTCGCAGCGACCACGGAAGGGAGCCCTGCCACAACAACAGCGATTGCATCAAAGAAAGTGGAATGAGGCGCAGTGACGAAGATGGGGGCCTCTTCTCTGGTGGCCCTTTTCCCTTTGACCTTAACCAGGAACCCAGCAATAAAGAACGTCACACGGAACAAGAACCGGAGGGCCGGCTTCACCAGATGCTTCCTCCAGCTTTTCATGGGCTTGGTAGGCCGAGTAGGCAAGTTAATGGTGGAGAGCGTGACCATAGGCCAGAGGAGGAGGAAGAGGAAGGCGATGCAGGACACACGCACAGGTACCAGCACAGTGCCCAGGAGGATAATGCGGGCCCAGCGCCAAGCACTCAGGTGAGTCTGCTGTATGAAGGGGTTGGCCACTGCGGGTGAGAATAAGGACCTGTTCACTTCCCCAGCGATCTCGCTGTCGCACACCTCCAACTCGGTGGTGTCTGTGGTCCGTCTGCGCTCTGTCAGGGGAGCCATGAAGCCTGCTTCTCAGCCTATGAGTATCCCTTCTCCCACATTCGAGTGCTGCTTCTGTTTGCACGTGGTTAACACCCTTAAAACCAATTTCTGGTTAATAGGAAATGATGCATCCCCTTTAAAATTAGAAGAAAGAACCACAGGGGAATTAGGATCTCATCAAGAGAACAACCATGGTGTGTTGTTTTGATATATATGGTTAAAGAAATTTCACATAACAATGTCTGGTACTAATTCATATATATTTACTAATTTATATTTATTAATTTAAATGAATAAATACTAATTACGACTTTCAAATTTAAGTGATATTGCCAGTGATATTGCTATGGGCTGCTTTGAAAACAAGTGAGATTCATTGTCCCTACAGATGGATTGAGACAGCCCGATGGTCCTATCTCTTTAGGCTAAGAATGTGAATAGTGTCCCCTTAAACATTTGTGTTAGGAGGACTTTTCCACACATATAGGGATTTAGGGAGAGGCGGGAAAGAGAGAGTAACAGACTCTGTGACTTGAGAGTAGAAGGACTTCGTAGGGGAGGAAGGGGACCAGGACGGAGCAGGGGCAAAAGGGATGGGAGGAGAGGAGGATAAATGAGGGTAAAGCGTGACCTGTGAGAGTGAAATGCCGTGGTGAAACCCATCACTTAGAAAATTAATAACTTAGAAAGGAAAATTAGAGTGCATTAATTCTAATAGGCCAGAATTGATCATGGTATATGAGGTTTACAATGTTAATATTAGTTAATATGAACCAGTCAACACTCTAAACGGATAATATATGAGAAAAAAAAAAATCCTGTAACATCAACTTGGCCGGCTACAAGGCTTTGGTTAAGACAAGGGCAGCTTTGCTGTGTCAGGTGTCCAGGACGTGTCCCTTCGTTACTGTTGTCCTTGGGGTGTCATGAAGAGGGAAGCCCAGTTAGTGTGAACGGGGCTCTCTTCCAGACCTGGTGGCATTCTAGACTCCAGGAGTGTTTTATTGCGGGTTCCTGCTATGTTTGCTAACTTCTAATTTGGATTCCTTTTCCCAGAACTAAAGTGATGATATAGGCCCCAGAGTTTCCATCTATTGGCATATATTAGGTGTTAAGGATACCAAAGATTGGTAAGCAAGCTGTGAACTATGCGGAAGGCCACTTCCAGGTGCTGACATTTATACTCGAGGAATTGGCAAAGTCACCTCTTAGAACTTACTCTCCTGTCTTTCAAAGAAGGAACTTACTCCCTACCTTCTACTTTTGCTATGAGGCTCCGACACAAGGTTCGTAAACAAACTGAGTTTTTATTGTACGTCGAGGTTGCTATGGCAATGAGAATTCCGAGGGCACTCTACACTCTCTTGTCACTACCGGAACCATCTGTCATGAAGGAAGTGTCACTCAGGTGCTGTGACCAAAGAGGACATCCCAAGGCAGTGACAGCAGCGACTTCAGTCACACTGCCCTCCTCTGTGTCTTCCTAGTCTATGATGTCATTTCTACTCTGTCAGCTTTCTTTTTTAAAAAAATAATTTACTAATTTTTATCTTATGTGCATTAGTGAGGGTGTCAGATCCCCTGAAACTGAGTTACAGACAGCTGTGAGCTGCCATGTGAGTGCTGGGAATTGAACCCAGGCCCTCTGGGAGAGCAGCCAGTGCTCTTAACCGCCGAACCATCTCTTGAGCCTCTCTTTCAGCTTTAATTGCATTCTGTATATGGCTCTTAGAAAAAGTTATTACACCATGTTTCTTTTATATTGCATTTGCCTGATGTGGTGTAGTATCTGATTGTAACATGGTATTGCAGTAGTTAATCCCTGCCCCTCATTCATGGCTTCAGGTGTCTGTGGTCCACCAGGGTTTAAAAATATTAAGTGAAAAGCACAGAAATAATGCTTAAATCTTTTAAGTTGTACAATAGTCTGAGTGGTGTGATAAAATCTTCCACTATTCAGTTTCCTGCCTTCTAGGGATGTAAGTCATCTCTGTCCAGGATAGTCTGCCCGAACGTGACTCTGTCCACTCCACTCTCAGATGGACTGCCCTGATGATAGTCTGCCCAAACGTGGCTCTGTCCACTGCACTCTCAGATTGGCCGTCCTGGTGTGCAGCACTTGTGTAAATAAGATCTGTGCTTTGCTCAGTGTTACCTAGTTTCACTCACTAATGGCCCCAAAAATGCCAAAGCAAGGCCATAAGAACTACTTTTAATTGACAAGGTGGATGCTTTCTATGACAGATGAAAAAAAAATTCTGTGAACATGAGAGAAAAAGAGATCAATGCTAATTTGATTTTCACACCTCAGGCTGAAAGAGTTATAGACACAGAAAATAGTGAGAGCTTAATTAAGATGAGAAAGGTATTTACCGTATAGGGTTTGGTTCGTCTACAGTTTGGGATCTACTGGGGTCTTGAGACTGCATTTGTTCACTAAGAAATTATCTGCATGTCTATAGTACAGTAGGCCTTTACTAGATGATGCACATTAGATTTATAAAAGTTAAAAATCTTGTCCTATAAAACTTGGATTCTAGTGTATAAAGGAGTAATAGTATTCGTTTCTTTTTTCTTTTTCTTTTTTTTTTTTTTTGGTTTTTCGAGACAGGGTTTCTCGGTGTAGTTTTTAGAGTCTGTCCTGGCACTAGCTCTTGTAGATCAGGCTGGCCTCGAACTCACAGAGATCTACCTGCCTCTGCCTCCCAGGTGTTGGGATTAAAGGTGTCTGCCACCACCACCCAGCAGTATTCATTTCTTACTGCATTGAAGGTGTAAAAAGATATGTTCCTACATGGTTGATGTAGTTTGTACCAGTTTTAATTAGTTTAATCCTTCATCATACATAGAACTTAAGACACGTTTTCAGAAATACTCATCTGGCTAAGTTTACATTCAAATTCCTTTATATATTATAAATACACAAGGTTTAATGATGGGATTTTTATTGGCCAAAAAACAGTAAAGAAAATATTATTTTAACAATGAAATTAAAATGTTTGCCATTGCAGATCTGCCTTTTATCCTACGGCACAGCTCATATTCATGTATGTTTGTAAAAGGCACCACATGTTAATATAATAAAGAAAACAAGAAGCCAAACCTGAGCCATTTTCCTTGATTATCTTTTTGTACAACTGTGTATTTTAAGGCAGGCATTTATCTGTGCAAATATAGTGAAAAAATTACATAGATTTTTTTTCAATACCATGTTTCACTATATTTATTTATAATCAAGCATATTAAAACAAGTGATTCTTCCTAAAAAAAACGTAAATTGATGAACGAATTTTAGGAGGCTTTTGCGATTCCCTTATAGATTCTTCACAGGAGATGGTCATTCTCTTCTCCTGTCTTCCCTCAGGAACGCCCATATCAGCCTGTTCACTATGTCAGGTTGGTCCTGCTGAAGCCAGTGGCTACCTTCTGACAAAATGGTGAGTCTGAAATAGTTTTTAACGTAAACTTTTGTGACTTCAGCCATCTCGGCCTCCATAAATGCATCTTCCTCTCCCCACAGGAGCAGCGTCGGCGTCGTCACCATGTGATGCTTGAGAGGCAGGCAGCTGAAAGATCAAAACACATCAACCTGAGACCATCCTTCCATAACACTGTGTGGAGATGTGCCTTCCCCACAGGAGACATACCATCTCACTGACCGGGTAAAAAATGGGGTTGGGAGGGTAGAAGAACCTCACATTTTATTCATAAAACATGAATATGCACAGAGTATACAAACATATTACATTTTCATGGGGCAGGGTAATTTGGGGGAGTAGGGAATGTCTTTAAAAGCTCCCCTGGGAAGTGGCAGTCAGACTGATCAGTCAGACTGATCCAATTATGTGGAATGTGTTGGTGAATGCAATCTCAGTACTCAAAAGGCAGGACAATACTTCAAGTTCAAGGCTAACCTGGGCTACATAGTGAATTCCAGGGCAGCATGGGCCAAAGTTGAGACCCTACCTCAAAACAATTTAACAAACCCCTAAACAAAGCAAAACAAAACAAAACACCCAAAAAGCAAAAACCCAAAGGAATCTAATAAAATCTAGTACAAGTTTACCAGTCAAGAATTGACCTGTGTCTCCAGCATCAGGAAAAAGCTAAGGTGGCAGCTGCATTTATAACCAGCAGAGGCCAGGGCAGGAAGTTCTCTAGGGCCTGCTGACTTTCCAGTCTGGTCTAATCCTCAAGCCCCAGCTACCCAGTAAGAAACCAGCTCAAAAAGAAAGATGCATGGCCCTGCAGGGGGCATCTCAGGCTGTCTTCAACACTCAGGAACATGCAGCCTACGCATACACTCACACAAAAAATCAACTGTCTTTAGCTTTCATAAAACTGAATTTTGTACAGGGCCAACCAAGGCTACACAGTGAGACTCTCTAAAGAAGAAAACTAAAGAAAGATAACAACATAACCCAAATGAACAAAATCACAAGCTTTGCCTTTCGTGAGCTTCCCATGTCCTGGAGGTAATGTGCTTTCTCCAGGGTGCAGGTCTTCCCAGTGGGGGGGTCACAGTGAGAACAAGAGGGGAGTTTAGGGAAGGCAGAAATAGAAGAGTGTCAGATGCGCTTTTCTGGGTGTGCGGAGTTCTTGATCCTTTAGAGATCTTCTCCCCTTATGTGGTAAGAAAGATACCATGACACCGAGGCTGTCCTCACGTTTATGATCCTCATGCCTCAGCCCTTCCAGTGCTGGGATTGCACACGGTACATCACCATGCCTGGGTGCTACCATTGTTGCGGTTATCTTATTTTAGCTCTCTCCTTGCTTCTTTTCCCTTTTTCCTGACTCTTTTGAGTTGGTAGTCCACCCCACAAATCCTGGTTTAAAGTTACTGAAAATACCTCCGTGCTCTTCTTGTCCTCTCGGTCCTGTGCTCCTGCCACGTGGACCCTACTCGTGTTGCCACGTGGACCCGTGCTGCCACGTGGACCCTACCTGTGCTATGTAAAATCACGTCTCCACTTCTCACACAACCTTAGTCCTCACCTTTTTCTCTTTCCAGTCCCCTGGACTTGGGTTTTCTTTACTCAAGCATTGTCTTCTCACTCTTCACCTCTTTCTCCCTTTCAAAGCTTCTCTGTGTGTTTGTGACTTACATGGGTTCATTATTGGCATTGTTTATTTCAGGTCTGTTTTCTCTACGTGGGGCAAGATTTGTGAGCTCAGGGTCCTTGTCTTGTTTTACTCAACATTGCACCTTGAGTGTTCACAGCCCAGGACATAAAATGTTCTTAAAAATGTTTCTTGAGTGAATTAATACATAGCATTGCAATATAATAAAAATGAATCTACTCAAAAGGAAAGAATAAGTAGATAGAATTATGAATAAAACAAGCAATGACCACATGGGGGATCTATTATATTATTCTCTATTTTTTCATGTTTTAAATTTTCTATGAGTGAGGTAGTGTTGGTACACACCTGTAATTCCAGCACTTGGGAGGTAGAGGCAGGTGGATCTCTGTGAGTTCAAGGCCAGCTGGTCTACAAAGTGAGTTCCAGGACAGCCAGGACTATTTCACAGAGAAACCCTGCCTCAGAAAACAAAATAAAACAAAAGAAATTTCTATGAAAGAAACAGAATATTGTGTTTGGGGCTGGGGAGATGGCTCAGTGGTGGCAACACAGTATGGGGCCCTGAGTTCAGGTTAACAAGTAGACTAACGCCTACAATCCCAGCGTTTCTATGTAGAGTCCCTGGCGGCCCACGGCTCAGTCAGTCTGAGTTATGTAGCGGAAAACGAAGACCCAGCTTCCAATAAGGGGATAGAAGGTGAAGACTGACCCCCTCCAAGGTTGTCTTCTCCTTGCCACATGGGTGCTGTAGAGTATGAGCACCATCACCATCACACACACACACACACACACACACAGAGAGAGAGAGAGAGAGAGACTTGACACCCAAGTTTGTCCTCTTCCTGCCGCCACATGGGCACTGTAGAGTATGAAGATATCACACACACACACACACACACAGAGAGAGAGAGAGAGAGAGAGAGAGAGAGACAGACAGACAGACAGAGAGACAGAGAGAGAGAGAGAGACAGAGAGACAGAGAGAGAGAGAGAGAATGTGATGTATCTGTGGAATAAATTTAAGAAATTGTACTGACTTGAAAATGTTTCGATAATGGTTAATTGGGCCACTCAGTGCCCCGGGCTGTGAAAAGACATAAATGTACGCTTCCAGATCGTCCGTGGTCAGCTGACGTCCTTTCCTTCCAATGCCAGTGCTCCGGCTGGTGAACAGGTGCTTCAAAGCCTGATTGAAGCCAAAAGAGAGTAATTTTAAAAATCTAATAATAAACTAAATCTCTCACTTTAACGGGATCTGGGGGCCGACAGTGTAGCTCAGTTGGTAGAGTACTTGGCCAGTATGCACAAAAATGTGGTTTGATCCCTAATACTGCTTACACCAAGCATAATATCTAACACATGCCTGTCACCCCAGTATTTCAGTAGAGTCAAGAGGACCAGAAGCCAAGATCACCTTTCCTGTATACGAGTGAGTCAAGGCCAACCTGGTTTTCATGCAACCTTATCTCAAAAAAACGGGGGAGGTTGTATAGTAGTTAATATGTGGGATATGGTAGTTGATAGGGGGATATGGTAGTTAATACGGGGGGTATGGTAGTTGATGGGGGATACGGTAGTTGATGGGGGATATGGTAGTTAATGGGGGATATGGTAGTTAATGGGGGGATATGGTAGTTAATGGGGGGATATGGTAGTTGATAGGAAGATATGGTAGTTAATATGGGGGGTATGGTAGTTGATGGGGGGATATGGTAGTTGATGGGGGATACGGTAGTTGATGGAGGATATGGTAGCTGAGTTATGGAGCCCAGTCCCAGTGAATACATATATAAAATATGTCCATATTCAAGGCTCAGGAAACATTGTCAAAGAGGAGGCATAAAGACTATAACAGCCAGAAGGTCAGGGAGTTTGCTGTGAGGTTGTGTTTTCTAGTAACATCAGAAGCTACACCCATAATGTCTCACCAACATGACTGCTTTAACATGAGTTGAACAAGGATAGAACCAATGGCCGTGCCAGCTGGTAAGGGAAAAGCCCACAAGACCTCAACCCTTCTCAAAAGAACTCCAGGCAACTGAGGAAAGCCAGGAGTGAGAGGAATGGCTCTTCCCTAGAAAAGAGCACACCAGTGGTTGTCCAGCACCCAATGGTCAGCTCCGAAAACACACATACAATAATGTTATATGGAATGAATAGGTTATAGTTAGCATGATAGATGCATGTACATACACGGTAGTGAAAAAGAGACCAAGCATTTCAAGGAGTGGGGAGAGGCATACAGAAGAAGTAGAGTGAGGAAGGAAGGGAGAAATGATATAATTAAGTTATCTCAAAAAGAAAAAACACACAACTTAGGTGAAATTAGAAAAACAATTAACTTATGTCCTCTTTGCAAGTGGCATGTTCTTTCTCCTGAATTCCATCCTTCCTCGTGGCCATATACTTTCTTGATGTCCTTTCTGAATGATTCACAACACTGACATTCCAGCTGTTTACATAGGAATGTATGCATTGTAGGCTAGGTTAGAGTTTACAAAAATAAACAGATTAAATGGTTTCCTATGAGAGAGGGAGGGAGCAGGGTGGATGGACAGTCAGACAAGCAAGACTGTTCTGAATGTGCTTTGTCTAAGCCCTAACATGAACAATACAAATGTTTTATATAATATCAGAGAAGTTAGTTAAAATCCTGTCTCAAGTTTGCTTTAGAAATACAAGCAAGATTTCATGAATCATTTCTTCTTTCTAAACACTATAAACAAATTCTGTCTGATCAAAGTATCTAGAAACCTGAAGTGGGAAGTCTTCTGTATATGTGTTGCTTTTATTGGTTGGTGAATAACACTGTTTGGGCCAATGGCTTAGCAGAGCAAAGCCAGGTGGGAATCTGAAGAGAGAGAGAGAGAGAGAGAGAGAGAGAGAGAGAGAGCAGGCAGAGTCAAGGAGACGCCATGTAACTGCCAAAGGAGAAAGAACAGCCTTGTGGTGATACACAGAATAATAGAAATGGGTTAATTTAAGATATAAGAGTTAGCTAGGAATTCGCCTGAGTTGATAGCCAAACGGTGTTGCAGTTAATAAAGCTTCTGTGTGATTATTCGAGTCTGGGCATCCGGGAGACAAACAAGCAGTCTCAGCTTACAGAAACCCCATACAATGATCGCCTTGACATCCAAACTGTGGTCTGAAATACCGTTTCCCACTAGATGGAATAACAGTTTCTTAGGTAGATGGATGATTCCATACTGGGATAGGAAGTAACAGCTTCCTGAGTTGAATATTAACTCTCATCATTATTTTCAGTGATTATAGAACAAAGAACAGGAACCAAGATTCAGGCACTCCCACTTGGCTCCTATGGAATAATATGAACCTCAAAAACAATAATGACTAGTAGTTATTGGCATGTCAAATATATATTCATTGCAAGGAACATCCATCCTGTTATTTTTTATTTAAAAATCACCAAAAAGATGTGAAAAATTCCAGTTGATAAAAACAAAAAGAATGATAGAATTAGAAAATTATCATTTTGCATACTGTACTGAAATAATAAAACTGCATGATCAGTAGCAACATAAATTTGGTAGAGTGCCAAGAAATTGTGACTAGACTGGGCTAATGGCTCAGGGGCACACTGACTAAAATGGAGACAACCAAATATAACAGGTTTCTCTGAGAGGATGGACAAGGAAATGTATAGTACTGCCTTTTGAAAATCCCTATCAAATTAAAATCCAATATAACTAAACTTCTAGATAAGCCAACATCTCTATAGTAGGAAAAATCAGGGCTATAGGGTCAAGTGGAACAACACCTCATCGAAGCAGCTAGGAAATCCCAACTATGCATCCTCCCTCAGGACGAGTAACCTAATTGCTTCAACTTCAAGTTTGCTTGTTTGTTTATTAAGATAGGGTCTGATGGGATTGACACTCACTGTGTGAACCAGGATGGACTCAGATTTGTGGTAGTCTTAACTGCCTCTGCCCTCTGCTGCCCTCTGCCCACCACCCTCCTCCCTCAGCCTTTGCCTCCAAGTGCTGGGATTACAGGTGTGTGCCACCATCCCCATTAAGAGAAAAGCAAAGAAACAAGGAACTTGAAACAGTTTTAAAAGTCATAGCAGCTGGATATGTTGGTCTGACCCTGTTGTCCCAGTTACCCATGAGGACGACGATTTCTTGAGCCCCCAAATTTAAAAACAGCCTGGGAAATATAATGAATCTCTTAAAAAAAAAAAAACAAAAGAAAAAAGGAAGGGAGGGGAGAGCACAGGAGAGGGAAGAGAAGAGGGAAGAGAAGCAAACAAATCAGCCTAACAACTGAGAACAATACCTGTGGCCTTATTTGGTTCCGACGAGTGAAGTACATCAAGACGAGTGAAATCTTTAGGGAAATCTGAACACACATTACACGATACTGAGGGGCTGCTATTCGTTTGGCGAGGTTTGATAGTGGTATCAGAGTTGTGTATTTTTAAAAGCCCTTATTGGCTGGGGTGCATTTCAGTAGTTAGACGTATTTAGCATTTTCAAAGCTTTGAGTTAATTGGGTTCATTCTCCAGAACCTCACCCAACTTCAGCAAAGGTCCCTCACCTGTCAAAGTTATACACGGGATTATCTCCAGTCATATTATTATTACTTTAAAAAAAAACCTTCCCCTAGAGCTAACACTGTCTGAGACATCAAAGAAGCATTCCACGAGCTTCTAAAACACCTGAGTATTTGGTCCACTAACTCCTAGGAGCAATATCCAGTATTGCTCTGTGTATGGGCTTCCATTCTTTCCGGGGCTTCCATTTCCACTGCTATCCAGCTCTCTCTCCTGAACTCACAGTGCCTTCTCCATCAGAGGTGGAGCGATGCCCACCTATAAGGAAGAATTAGGACTGGGACTTGGGCAGATCCCCTAAAAGGCTTACAGAGGGAGGGGCATGCTGGTAACAAAAGTATAACAAGCCTCTCCTTCATCTTCCCGACTGGATACAAAAGCCTGGTGGTTTAAAACTAAGGCCTTGAGGACTTTTCTCAGGCCGCAGGACCCCTGCTGATGGGCTGTCTCCATAAGTTCATGGCCAGATCAGCACACGTTTAAACAACCATTGTGGACCAATGAGCATCCTGTCTTTCTTCTTCAGACTGACCAACCCTAAATCAGGGGAGGGAGACCTTTCAGAGACTTAAAAGCCCCAGTGCTCAAGAAGAGACTGAACTCTTGGTTTCCCGCATCATCATTTTACTCTGTGTTTCCTTGTGCCTAATAAATGCCTTCCTTCAGCTGCTGGTTCTTTCTGTTCGTTTGCTGTGTTGGAGATTTCTCTGCTGATACTCCTCTTGTTCAAGATTTTTTTTCCTGCCTTTTAATTCTTTAACTGGTGGAGAAAACAAGCAGATTAAGACTCCTCGACAGGAGCAATACAAGCTCCTGTACAGCTGACACCCAGGTGTTCAAACACGTCAATAGAGATCAAGAGATAAGGAAGCCTGAGAAAGTCCTTAAACCTACTGTGTGGTTTAACTGAGAATGGCCCCATAGGCTCGTGTGTTGGAATCTTGGTCCCCAGTTGGTGGGTCTGATTTTGGAAGGCTTAGGAACTAAGGCCTTGTTATTGCTGGAGTAGGTATCTCTATGAGGTGGGTTGTAAGGTCTCAAAGCCCATACCAGGCCTTTGGTACCAGTCTCTCTTTCTCTTCCTGCAACTTGGAGCAGATATGAGCTCTCAGCTATGCTCTGGCACCAAGCCTGCCTGCCTTTCTGCCATGGTGTTCTCTGTCACGATGATAATGGACTGAGGCTCTGAAACTGTAAAGGAGCCCCCAATTCACTGCTGTCTTTTATAAGTCGCCTTGGTCATGGTGTCCCTTCTCGGCAATAGAACAGTAACTAAGACATCTAATAAGTAACATTTTAACATTTCATTTTTCATTCCTAAAGATGAATTTTTATTAAAAATATTTGTCAAAAATAATAATGATAATAATAAAGTATTTGTTTGACTTACCTTGAAATCATTAATTGAGAACATAAATTCTGGGAACCATGGTATTTGGAAGAAGTAATAAAAGCTAGATCTGAGCAGCTGGGCGGGGTGCCGCAGTATGTAGTCTGAAATTAAAGCGCTGTGTTAGACATCGTCCATGAGCTGTAAATTAGTTACTATTGAGGGAATGTCTTACACCAATTCCACTTTTTAGGCAATCCCACTAAAGAAAGCAAGTCTTTCCGTACACCCTTGTTCTTTTATTTTGGTTGGTATTTCTAGTATTTAGAAAATGTATAGCACCTCAAACAAAAAGGAAGTTCCTCTCTAAGAAGCGTTCACTCAACAGGGAGTAGGACTAGTCTGCTTGACCTCTGCGGTCGTGATCCCACACCTAACAATTTGCTTAGGAATCTATGGTGATGCAGTATCCCATTATTTAAAGGAGATTTCTTCTAGACAGATTCAGACTGAAGTCTTTATATCTGACCCCCAATAGGAACTGGATCATTTCCTACACCTTTATTCATGTATCTAGAAAATTACTCATTCAATGACAATTTTTGAATCAACGGTAAGTCAGGGGTTTATCAGGGAACAAACAGGTAAGGCTCCCAAGAGACGGTCTTCTGCAGAGAAAACATCTTAAAATCACGGTCAGTGGTGCAGGTAGTGTGAGGCCCAAAGTGTGCCCCTCAAAATGGCAGTGCTGGTGACAATGTCCTACACAGAAGGGCTTTGACTTGGTAACAGAAGGACTGTTATTGGGTAAAGAGAAGACTGTTATACTTTTGGTTGTGAGCCTAGTCTTTAAAGGCTAAACCATCTCCAGAGGCAGGCAGACCTCTGTGAGTTCAAGGCCAGCCTGGCCTACAGAGTGAGTTCCAGGACAGGCTCCACAGTTTCAGAGAAACCCTGCTTGAAAAACAAAACAAGAGAAAAGACTGAAATCAGGTGTCTGTTTACTAGGAACCTCCCTTAATCTGTCCCCAAAAGTCAGCTACCCAGGGCAAGGGCATCTAGCTCCCGTTCAATCCAGACAGGTCAATCAGCTCAAAGACCACCCGCCAACACACACTGTCATATAAAGCCTGCTTGCTTTTGTGACATTTTTCTTCTCTCTGTCCACCCCATCACACACACACACACACACACACACACACACACACACTCACACACACCGGAGATAGCCTTGAAAGTTTAGTCCCCAATAAACCTCTCTTTTTGCCCTCAGAGTGGTCCCATCTGGTGATTTCTCTGTGCCCTTGCTAATAATTAGCAGAGTGCTTTGTGTAACGTGGTGCACGTGACTCTGGGCTCAAACCCCAGCCACACAGCTAAGGAAAACAGAACAAGGTAATCGTATTGAGAATGATAGTGGGAGAGGGTGGGGAGATCAAGGGAGGTGGCCAGAGAAGGCTCTCAACTTGCAAAATCTAGTGAGGACATCCAAGAACAGCCAAATGGGTTCTGGGGTTGACATCTGCAAGAAGCAGAAAGAAGGAGTGGCTGGTGTTCAGGGACCAGAAGAGGCTCACAGGACAGGAATGGGGAGGAGGAGCCTGATTGGGTAAGCGTGGCAAGGGAAGCACTTGGCAAGACGCTGAAGAGGAATCAGGAGGGCCCTAACCACAGGCACGGGGAGTGTTTGCCTGACCCGGTACTGAGCTCGGTCTCCTTGCTACGGAGGTTTGGTTTAATTTCACATTTTGTAACTATACTCATGTGTCTGGAGGTCTTAGGAACTCCGTTTGCAGGTAACTGTACCACTGCTATGCTACACTTTTTTTGTGACTTCATCAGGGGAACTTTTTTCACTTAAATCAAGAGAAATCAATTTAACTGATTAACTGACCAGTTTAACTGGAAAACAAATCCAGGAATATCATCTGCAAATGCTTGGTGGGGTTGTAAGAAACATCAAATACGAGTCTTTCCCGTTAAACATGATAAAACTTGTGTTCAGAACAAGAAACTCAAAGTTTCATCCCCACCCACACCCTGTATGGATACTTTTACAAACACCCCCCCCCCCCACACACCAAGTAAAATCTCTGTTTGCACAAAGGTCTGCTGGGTATTGCAGGACCCTTTCCTCCTGGAAGCAGTGATCCCTTCTCCTTTCCTTTGTTCCGTGTGCCAATTCTTTTCAGATCAGACCCCAGTTAATGAGGAAAAGACAATCGTCACCTGAGTCAGAATGAAAACCAGATGGACTTCCTGTCTCGTGCTGGCTCTTCTAAGCCAAGAATCAAGTGTACCTTGTCCAGACACACTTCAGTTCAATTGGAAGTTTTTCTTTGGGACCCCAAACTTATTTCTAACAGGGTTAAAGCTGTCGTTGGTAATGCATTCTATACTTATTCCAAGCACCTGCCTCATGAAGTCGAGAATTACATTTTATTATCCTGCACCACCAACAAATAACATCTAACTCAGGGTCCTACTCAGCAGGCATGCGCTTTGACTTCTGTGGCTTAATTTAACTGAGAAAAGTGTAACAAATCTTAGGGCATTTTAATACCAAACACCCATCCTACCTCAACAGAGATCAGCTGGTGGAGGTGTACCTGAACTTCAACCCTGACACTAACAATATGCGGGGTCTATACAGTCACTGGGACCCTGTCATCAGCTGGTGGAGGTGTACCTGAACTTCAACCC